AATAAGTTATGCTAATGAGCTCCTGCACCTCTTTTTCTACGAAATGACCCCTGGGTAGGAGGCAAGTGTGAAAGGCCACTGCCAGTCTGAGTAGACAGTACTGACCTTGATAGACCAGTGGTCTAATTCAGCAGAAGATGGCCTCGTGTGTTCGCGTGAAGCTGAATAGAGTCCTTCAAGAGTCAAGTGTGACTTCCGAATCATTTCTCTCCCCCCCACCACACACACACCTTGCTACAGTGAGTCAAGTGTGACTTCCGAATCATTTCTCCCCCCAGACACACACACCTTGCTACAGGTTCCTACACCTTGCTGTTACCTTCAGTGACAACAGATTAAAACTCTCCCTGTCTCCTCTCTCTCTCTCTCCTTTGTATGAAACTCCAGGGACGGCCCGCATAAGCTGAACGTGCGTCATATCTCCCGGAGGTCCCTTTGCACAGGCAAGAAGGAGGGGGCCCTCCTGACGACGTGTATTAGGCTGCATTTGAAGAAACCATGGCTCCATTTGAAGTGACCATGGCGCTGCTGGACGAGAAACTGGCATCATAGAGCCTTTACAAGACAGTGCCCCTGAGGGAGTGTGGGAGCGGATGCCCTTCTCCGGACAGCGGGAAAGGCAAGGCTGAGGGGGATGCCTGGAATCGGTATAAGGAGACATCCAGGAACGAGGCCGCAATGACCTACCTCGCCCAAGCAGAAGAACTGAAGAAGAAAACCTGGGGCTTTATGGCACCTGGGGGGTGACTGGGACACTCGGCCTTCAGCTGGGGGAAAATGTTCCTTGCTTCCCAGTCACTGAAAGCGGACAGGGCAATTAAACTCCACCGAACCGCAGTCGTTCAAAACGTGTAGGCCTGTCTTCAGTTCAAACCATTCCGCCTCATCATTTCAACTGCGCTACTTCAGAACTTACGCGTGTGTATGGGGATAGTACATCCAAATGCACCACTTCTGTTTAAAACACAAATAAGAAAGCCTGATTGTAGAAAACTAGTGCACCAGGAAAAAGGCTAGCTTACACTCTTAAGAGATGCCAATGTTGGATCAGGCCAAAGGCCCATCCAGTCCAACACTCTGTATCCCACAGTGGCCAGAAATACCAGTGCCATCAGGAGGTCCACCAGTGGGGCCCAGTAGTTTAAACACAGACAATCCCACCATCTGTAGGCTGAATTGGGGCTCTGTCATCAGGACTGTAGTGTTATTACAATGCGGTTCAAGTCTGGCATGTAAACTTTGAATTTAGCTGTGTAGGAAGTTGCTCGGTTTCACTAGGAGGGAGCTTTATCAGGGACAGGTAATAGGTTGAAATATAAATTTATTTGTATTTAGCCATAAGCCATTACAAACCAAGGATTAGAGTAAAATGTAAGATACAATAAAACCATACAATCAGAATAAAATTGAGTCAAACGGTGTCTGCTAAGATCTAAGATCAATATTAATTAGTTCCCATAAGAACAGCGTTAGCCCGTATTTTCTTTGCAGCCAAGGCATATAAAGACATTCTACAGGATATGTTGGTGTCGAAATCAGCTAACAAGAATACAATCTTCTCAGAATCTGAGTAGAAACGTAAGTCTGATAAAATCCTGGAGAGAAATTTTAACCTAGGTTGGGCATACGTCGAGCATTCAAGAATATAATGGGGAAGATCCTCGATAACAGAAGAGCCACAAATACAAAAGTGTTGTTCCTTGGGTGTTCTACTATAGTGGCCAGCTAATACGGCCATTGGCATTTCAGAATGCAAGGATGTGAAGGCTTCTCTCAGGTTATGATTATCTATACTAACTAGGTAGGAAGATCTAAAATCGTCATTCTTAAACAATTTGAACCAGGGAGCAGACTGTGATGGGGGACGGGTAATAATCATCATATAGCATTGTGTGTAGAATAGCCAGGAGATCAGAAGATTGTCTGGCAGCCAAAAGTTCTAGCTCTCTTAGCGTTATGCACCACTAGGTGGCGAGCTAGACTTGTTTTTAAGGCAAGAGATGTTTCAGAGGTGATTCGCCATTGCCTGCCTCTGCGTCACACCCCTGGTATTCCTGGGAGGCCGCCCTGCCAAATACTAGTCAAGGCCGGCCCTGCTTAGCTTCTGAGATTGGACTAGCCTGGGCTATCCAAGTCAGGGCACTGGTGTAAGAGGCTGAGTTTGTCTGCTTTTGGGGGGAGGTTGCTGCTCAGCCCGCTTGGGACCTGTTTGTTTGCGGTTTCCAGCCATTTGGGGCTCGGCTGGTTTCAGCTGTTGCCTGGAGCTCTGGCACCCTGTCCCTGCCGAGAGGAGAGTCTGCAGGCTCTGTGCTTGGGGATGGAGCCAGAGCCCTGCACTGGATCATCAACAGCCAGCTCTGCAGTAAGCAGGGGAGTCCAGGCTTGAGTGAGAGGGAACCCCACT